TTTTCATTTTGCATAACGGACTTCTAATCTCAAAAACTATGCATTGCACTTTGTGCAGATTTTTCCTACATCGTCTAAAATTTGCATGTAAATTTATTTTTACTTGCTTTGATGGGACCCCGACGGGTCTTTAATAAAATAATTGAATTGAATTGAATTGAATTGGACAAAAGCTGGATGCCACCATGTTCAAGCAACTTTTCCTCCAACGGTTGCCTCCTTCTGTGCAAGCCATCCTTGCGCCTAACATTCCTTCGTCGACTGTTCAGATGCTCGCGGAGACTGCTGACCGTATACTCGAGTACTACCAGCCTCCTGTTACGGTTAACGTCGCTAGTCGAAGCACAACTGTCCCCACAATCGAGGATGTCGTCAAACGCCTGGATGCCCTCACTCTCGAAGTTTCCCAGCTCCGGGCCACTCGCGTCTATAACCCTCGTAGTCCTGCAATTTCTCGCCGCCCGAGATCTTTCACTCCAAACAAACCTACAGTTGATGGTTTCTGTTGGTATCATCACAATTATGGTTCTAACGCCCATCGCTGCCACTCTCCGTGCAAATATAAAACACCCGCGTCGGAAAACTCCCCTGCCGACCAGTAAGGGCGACGAACGTGGTCGGCACATCCTCTCCCAGTCGCTTACTCCACATCTATGACAGGACTTCCTGTCGTAATTTCCTCGTGGATACTGGTGCAGAGATCAGTCTAATCCCACCCACCTTGACTGACCGTAAGTCACCAAATTCTTCATTTTTCCTCCAAGCAGCTAACAATACTTCTATTAAAACTTTTGGTCAACGATCCCTAACACTAGATTTGGGTCTAAGACGTTCATTTCGTTGGCTATTTACTATCGCTGATGTCCATACTGCCATTCTTGGCGCTGATTTTATATCCTTTTTCGGTCTCCTCGTTGACATTAAGTCCCATAAATTATTTGATCCTAAGACTTCTTTACATTGTAATTGTTCCACTCGTACCCGTTCATCACCTAATCCACGCATTTCAACAATCCCTTCCTCTACTCCCTATCATCGTTTACTTTCGGAATTTCAATCTATCACACGACCTTCACAATTTAACCAACCTATCAAGCATTCTGTTGTCTCAGCCAATCGGACACCCAATAAATCCAGCACCATTTTAAAATCTTTTCCTCCACAATCGGCTAACAGTGCCTCAAATACCCCGTCTCAAAACGTAGCGGGTTCGCAACTGCCCCCCAGCCCTCATATCAAGGCAGTTAGGCCGAATATGCCGATTTTCCCACCGTTTAATAGACGTCTTGTTCCAATGGAAGCAATGCGTTTCCCACCCCCTAACTTGTTTCCTCCACGGCCGTTTTACCAATTTATTCCTCATGGTAATGTCCATACTGAATCAGTTAATTCATCCGATCCTCAGTTTCGTCCCGGCGGGAATACGTTGCAGTATCTGCCCCGCGGATTTCCAGCTGAAAATAAGTTATCTAACAATAGTTACCAGTTTACCTGCCCGTCATTCCCTCCCCCAAGTCCTACCCCTTTTTTATGCACGTCAGAATTTTTTGATGCCACAAAATATTTTGCAGAACCGGATGGTTGCATCCGGACCGTTTGCTCCGTGGGCGACCCAGAACTGGACGATGTAGCCCACCTCCCTCAAAAACTAACAGCCTTTCCCTTCAAACTTTTTGTTTTAAATGCCAGATTCTTGCTTAATAAGATGCCTTTGCTTCAGACTCAGGTGTTCGTCCATTGTCCTGATATTGTTTTAGTAACTGAGACGTGGGCATCAGCCTCAGTAGCTGACTCCGAACTCTCTCTTCTAGGCTACAATTGCATCCGAAATGATCGCCAAGATAGCCGTGGTGGGGGCAGCTGCGTCTTCGTTAAGCAAACACTTACATTTTTGCCGTTGGACCTCCCGCACTTTTCCGCAGTAGAAGGCAGCTGCTGGCTCCAGGTTGCACTAAAAAATAAGTTCTCCTTACTCGTTGGCTGCGTCTATCGCCCTCCCAACGCCAATGGCAATTTTGATCGTTTACTCTCACAGGCATTTCATGCTGCGGCCGACTTAAGCTTTAAGTATCAACTGGTTGCGGGTGACTTTAATATCCCTGAAGTCCGCTGGTCTCCGCCTTCAGGCCCCAGAAGATTCGATGACTTTCTTGAGGCTGTGGATGTCGGGATGTGGACTCAGGTTGTCGATTTTCCCACCCGAGGCTCAAGTATACTTGACTTAATTTTCTGTAGAGGCTGCTTGCCATCGTCAGTGTCATCCCTAGGCCCACTCGGG